ATGTTTAATAATTTATATTTTGTAAAAACTTGTATAGTTACTTGCTTGGAAATAAGTCTGAATATGAACACCAAAGGCTAATAGTGGTTATCTTGGAGAGAGTAATTGTCATATTTGGAAAACATTTTTTGTCTTATTTGATAGTTACAGTAAACATATACTATAAAAATAGAGAGGAAAATATTGTCAATTCTTTTCTAGCATATTTAAAATTAAACTATTTTTAAACATTTATTTATTTTAAAATTAAACATTTAGGCCCTCCCTGGTGGCACAGCAGGTTAAGGTACAGCACTAAGAGGCTGAGGCCACTTCCACATGAGTTTGACCCCTGCCCTGGTGGTGACCCACATGGCACTGCAGACCTCTCTTGTCTTGTCTGCTGCTCCCCTCAGCAGTGTACTTTGTCAGTCTGCCTGTTCTCCTCCCCGCTCTGCCTCTGGTGAATCTTCTCACTGTCCTTGCACCTCTGGCCTGTTCCCCAGTATGTGTGCAAACATAAGTAAATCTTTAAAAAAAAATAAACATTTAAAAAGATTTCTTTATTTTAAAGTTGAACTTTTTTTAAAAAAGATTTATTTATACATACAGAACTGGGGTACAGGCCAGAGGCTCAGGGGTGATGAGAGGCTTCACCAGAGACAGAGTGGGGAGCAGAACAGGCAGATCGATGAAGTACACTGCTGAGGGGAGCAGCGGGCAGGTCAGAAGAGGTCTGCCGCGCCATGTGGTCACCTCCAGGGCAGGTGAGATAGAACTCATGCGATAATGGCTTAAGCTTCTTTGTGCTGTGCTTTAACCTGCTGCGCCACCAGGGAGGGCCCTAAAATTAAATATTTTTAAAGACTTATTTATTTATGCATAAAAGAACTAGGCCAGAGGTACATGGGATGAGAAGACCCACCAGAGACAGAGTGGGGAGCAAAACAGGCCAGCTGACTGAAACACTGCTGAGGGGAGTTGCAGGTAGGCCATTTGGCTCACCTCCCTTGCCAGGGATCGAATTCATGCTTCAGTCGCGTGGACAGCCTCATAGCACTATGCTTTCACCACCCATTGTGCCACCAGGTGGACCCTAAACATTTTTTTTTCAAATCATAGTATACTAAACATTTTACAGTTTTATCCTGCTCTTTTCTTGTTTTCTGCTTAAACACTGAATAGTTTTTAAAAAGTTATTGTGCTGTCTGAATTATAATCCATGGGTTAGAATTACATTATTTGGCTATTTCTCCATTATTGAATATCTAAGTTGTTGCTTATAATTTTCCATGATTATTAGCATTTTTGTAAATAAATTATTGTCTGCATGAAAAAAAAAATGTAAAACAAATTTCCATAGGAGCAATTCCTAAATAAAGACTATTGGATCAAAAGTTCTGAATATTTAAAAGTGCCTTATTCAATGAATTCCTCTGAAGCTGTAGTACCCTCATATAGTACCTTATTCCTTTTGGTTATGATTCCGCCAATCTAACTGTCTATTTCTGCACTTTATTATTTTTCATGAAGCAGTAAGGGAAGGGCTGAAGCAGTTTGAATGCACAGTGGGCAGGAGACTTCACTTGGTTCTTCCGTTCCTCAAAAAACTCCCGAATGTCCAGTACCTTTATTTATTTTATCTTTAAAATAAGGGCAGGACCCTCCCTGGTAGCACAAGGGTTTGGAGCATGGCACTGTGGGACTGTTGGCAGCCAGTGCAGCAGAGTTTGGTCCCTGGCCAGGGAGGTGGCCCAGATAGCGCGGCAGACCTCTCGTGTCTGGCGCCCTGCTCCTCTCAGCAGTGTGTTTTGGTTGATCTGCCTGTTCTGCCCCCTGCTCTGTCTCTGGTGAATCCTCTCACATACCCCAGTTCTTGTATAATGGGTGAATAAATATTTAAAACATAAAATAAAATAAGGGCATAGGGGGATTCACTGCGCTGCAATTCTCTGCTTCTCTGCAGGCTCCAGGAGAAATGCTGGGCTCTTTATGTGAAAAAGAAGCAAAGGAAGACACCAGTTTTCAAGAAATTTGCATATTTAGAAGGACACAACTGACCAAATCACAATTGTGATTTCCTTCATGCATTTTCATAAGTGAAAGTTCATCGATGACATTTGCGGGGAAACAGATATTAATATTTCTGTCTTACAGCTGAAGGCACAGCCCAGACTGGGTAACTTGCCCAAGGTTACTCACCTAGGAGTGGAAGTGAGGTTCAAATCCAGTATGTGCCTCCACACCTGACACCACAAATTTTCAAAGTGAAACAGAAATAATATTTCATGGGCTTGGTAATTGATTCAACGACACACACATTCACAGCTTTCACAGTGATTACTTTTCTCCTTAGAATATTTATTTCAAGGGGACTTAAAAGAAAAGCACTAACCAATGTGTCTGCTCTAACACCAGCAAAACAGTATGAACAAAACCACTAGGAATGAGGCACTCTGAACTTCATTTAAAAAGAGAGAGAGAATCACACAATTAATCTTAGAAACTAAAGGAATTCTTTAAAAAATGCCTTGAACCATGATGGCAACTTTTTTTTGTACTTGAAGTCTTTTGGTTAATCCTTTACTTTCTTAAGTTTCTCTCTTTAAATGTTTGAAGAGAAACATATGAATATAAAAGCATGTGAAAGTGTTAATATTTAAAAAATGAACTTATTATGTTAATTATTCCTTGGGAGTCTCTCAACCTCCTTGTTATTTTCTTGTCTCTTTTATTTTGTGGCAAAGTCCCCGAGAAGCAGATACATATCATCTACAACAAAACATGTAAGGTAATTTTTCTTATCTCTTTTCACATGCCACCAGCTTTAAAGTCTTTGATGAGTTAATCTTCCAGTTTGAACATGAAGTTTCATTAGTTTTAAGTGACTACACTGCTATTTTTCCTGCAGGAAATTTACATTTATCAAACCATGCATTTAAAATCTTCCAAGGGATATCAAGTTGGGCTGTTTTTGTAAGATCAAATCATCCATTGTACAGCTATAGCAGTCTTGTTTTTCTATCTTCTTAATTTGGTAGTTTTTGCTAATCATTCCTGCAGCTTTTATGTAATTCCTAAGGTTCATGAAGGCAGGGGTCTTACATCCTTAACACCCAACACAAGGCAGGTGCTCAAGGAATATTTTTTCCCATTCCAGCTTTATTGAACTATAATTGACATATAACAATAAATATTTGAATGAATGTATTCTACCCATTCATTTGGAACATTTATCCTTTTAAAAAATACATATTTTTAAAGATTTATTTATTTATGCATATAGAATTGGGGTACAAGCCAGAGATGCAGGGGTGGTGAGAGGATTCACCAGAGGTAGAGTGGAGAGCAGAAAACAGTTCATTCCTGAGGGGAGCAGTGGGCAAGGCGGGAGAGGTCCACCACGCCACATGAGTCAGCTCCCTAGTGGGGGATTGAGCTCGCCTTGAAGCAGCTGCAGCTAGCTTCTCAGTGTTGCCCCTCAGCCCGTTTCACCACCAGGGAGGGCCCCAGTTATCATTAAATATAGTTAATACCTTGCTGAGTTTGGAGGTGGCTTTCCACAAATATTGCCTCACTGATATCTGGCAAGGTAAGACAAATCAAGATGTTACAGGAAATAGGGGATGAGGGCTGGCAAAGTTAACCAACCCATCGACAAAAAAAAAAAAAAAAAAAAGCTTTTGCGGTATTGTGGTATATGCTTTGAAAATAAAATGAAATGAACTGGGTTTGAAGTTGTTCACCACCAGAAAAACTTTTTCTGAATAACCTTTTTATTTTTTTCAAAAGACATTATGAGGTGCCCTACTGGGAATTGGCTTTATGTTCTTTCTTGACTCATTTTCCATGCTGGAAAAGGAATCCTGAGATTCATTCCAGTGAAATACTGAAGCTCTATGGTCAGATCTATAGTACCTGAGAGGTACTTTTTTCTTAGTCAACTAGAAGGCAAGCTATTCTTCCCGGCCCCCCCTCCCCTCCAAGACGGCAGTTACCATTCTTGGATTCGTTTTCCCTCAGCCCACAACCGGTGCAAACACTTTGTGCCTGACTCATTGATCTAAACGTATGTCCTTCACATTTTAAAAAACATGTCCACTTTTTTTTTTTTCCCCTCCAGGGTGAAAGCACAGCCTTCCTCCCCTCCGGTCCAGCAGCTTCTGTTCTTTCTCTCTCCATTTAACCTCAAGGCCACACGTGGGATTCGGTGCAGCAAATGCCGGCGCGGCGTCAAGGGCCCTCGCCAGGAACTGAAAGAACCCCGATAACAAGCAAACGCGGGACCAAGAAATGGGAACGCTCAAGATTTGTGTGGGGAAGCTGCTGAGACGGCGCCTTTGTTTCCTTCACTGGCTCCAGTTTTCCTCTTCTTTTCTCGTTAATCTCGGTACTTTTTTTTTTATCAGCGCCAAGTGCGGGACCTGGAGGCACTCTCCCGGGGGCAAAAGATGGGCACACTGTCCCTTCCTTCAGAAATAGGTGTTTGTGGAACATCCAGTGCTGCGCGCGGCGACTCCCGCCAGGACCGCGTAGGCGCCGCGGCAGTCGCACCTGGGCGCGCACCCACCACTCCAGCGCGCTCTGCCCAGCCTCTTGCCGCCAGCTGTGTTGGCGAAGACCCTACAACTTAGCAGCTGCGGGCGACGGG